CCATGCAGTGTGGCCAAAAAAAAAAAAGAAAAGAAATATCCTGTAGGCAAAACAGAACATATCTGCATGAACCTGGGGCTACCATTTTGGAAAATGAGGTGGAGGCTTTAGAAGGAACATGTAGCTGGTCTGTGGAGTCAAGGTTGTGGAAGAAACTGGAAGTGGAAAGCTAGAGGAGAGAGTGCTGGGATGGGGTTTGGGAAAGGCTGGGTGTCATTTAAAGATGTGAAGATAAGAGGAAGCTCCAAGGCCCTTGGGTTCCACGAGGTGACCAGCCATGGCTTAGAGATCTGTGGCCGGACCATCCAGGATGGGGCTTCAGAGAAGAGGTGGCTTCACACATAGACGGGGAAAGCCTAAAGTGTCATGGTCACTTAGGACCCCCTAGACACCACGGCAGAGTCTAAACGCTGCTTAGGAAAACAAATTAGAGAAATTGATAGTTCTCTGATTTCATTTTCTCTTTTGATGAAAAATAGATGACTTTCACATGGTGGCAGAACAAACAGAAGCTTGAGTATGAGCATCATCGATGCTGTGAACTTTCCCAGCTCTTTCGCTTACCATCCCTCCACTCATGACTCATTGTGGGGCCAACACCCAACTCCTTCCCCAAAGTCACTCACTATCCAGGGAGGGAGACAGATGAGAAAACAAACAACACTGTGACCAGGGAAGGATGGGGCCCAAGAAGACACGGATCTCAGTTTGAGGTTTTGTGAGGAGGCTGAGCATCAAACAGTGTCTTTAGAGGAAGAAGAGGAACAGGATGCCGGCATCCTAGGAAGAAGGGACAGTGTGAGCGAAGGCTCAGAGGTGTGAAACAGCTTGGTTGTGTGGGAAACCACAGGAGTCTGTAAAGGTTGTGAGTAAGACTCTGAGCAAATGGAACTAAGGCAGGGCGTTGGCAGGGGCTCTGCTGTGGGACTGAGGCTGTCTCCCACAGCCCGTCAGAAGGGCCATCTCACTTTCCCACCCCTCCAAGTCCTTTCTCCTCTGCTCTCCACTCAAGCCAGTCTTTAGACCTCAATTCCCTTCCCCATCGTCACTCTTTACCTCCATCCTCGAAAACCATGTTCCTTGAAGACCCGGTCCAGGCCACCTACCTGTCTGAATCCCCCACGAGGGCCCTGTATCCTTCTTCCCACCTTACCCAGCCCATCACTGAGGAGCTAATCACGACTCACCCTGGGCCTCTGTTGCTAGGGTTCTAACCCTGTAGAGTGTCCGTCTTCCCCTCCAGCCATGGCACACGCAGACGGAGTTTCACATCCTAGCACAGTGCTAGGCCCATAGCAGACTCATTTTCCCCCTACTATATAGGTTTTCTTTTTTAAAAAATTTATTTATTATAATTGGAGGATAATTACTTGACAATTGTGATGGTTTTTGCCATACATCAACCATAGCAGATATTTAAGAGCTTATTAAATGAGTTGCCAGAGAATCCAGCCCTTTGAGTGAAATGACACCCAGTGTCCGCTATTTGAAGAGAGTGCTGAGAATATTGTTTCATAAACTTGGCAGTTGGAAGGATTATGTGGCAGCATTTTTTAAAAGCATAAAACACTGCAGAACACGCTCCCTTAGGGGGAGGACCCCAGCGACATCAAGAAGATTGTGTCTAACTTGAACACAATTTCCCTCTTCCTGTTGATGTCTTGTGTTGTGCTGTGAAAAGACTGCAACCCTGCACCTTTGAGCAGGCGCACTCAGCTGGGGAGATCACCAGGGCAGCTCTTTGGGGAAGGGCATTTGGAGGCCCTGGGACTGTACCACAGGGACCGAGTAGGCACTAGGCCTAGACTCCCCTCCACACCAGACTTCTGGAGGAGGGAGTCACACACACCTTGCCTGGGGCATCATCACAGGGTCAGGCTGTGTGGACAGACTCACTGCATGGATAATTTAGCCTGCCCCAGACCTCAGTTTCTTCATCTGTGAAATAGGACTAATCCCTTTCTCATAGAGCTGTTACAAACAGTGAGATATTGAACATAGAACACTGAGCATGCTGACTGGCACTGGCTGATGATTAACAAATATGTCCTTCGCCCACCCTCATAAACTCAGGGAGTGGGACAGGACAGGGAAGCCTGGCATGCTGCAGTCCATGGGGTCACAAAGAGTTGGAAATAACTGAACAATCAGTCACTGAGTGACTAAACAACAAATGAGTGACTGAACAACAAGTCTCACAAACACATAGTCTGGACCTGGCCTCTGGAATCATAGCTTTCGAAGGATCATAGACTGAGTAGCTAATCACATCAAAGTTTGCACTGATATCTAGAGTTTTTCCTTTAGCAGGCCCTCTTGGTGCCAGAAAAGTCTTTGTCTTCCTAAGAAAGGGAGTTCAAATGGTGGAAGCAAGTTGGGGACACTCTGTTGGCTCAGGGTCTTCTAGAGGTAAGCATGTGTGATCACCTCTGATTATGTTACCCCATACCCACCCCCTCAAAATCACCAGTAGCTCCCTGGCCTTTTCGCTATTATTCAGTCGCATCTGACTCTTTGTGACTGCATGGACTGCAGCACGCCAGGCTTCTCTGTCCTCCACTGTCTCCCAGTTGACTCAAATTCATGTCCACTGAGTCAGTGATGCCATCCTACCATCTCATCTTCTGCTGCCCCATTCTCCTTTTTTCCTTCAATCTTTCTGAATATCAGGGTCTTTTCTAATGAGCTGGCTCGTCTCATCAGGTGGCCAAAGGACTGGACCTTCAACTTTAGCATCAGTCCTTCCAATGCATATTCAGGATTGATTTCCTTTAGGAGTGACTGGTTTGATCTTGCAGATCTCCCTGGCCATTACCCATGGGATAAGATCTCACCTCATCAGCCAGGTTTTCAAGGCCCTTGGTGATATAACCACCATCTACCTTCCTCATTCATCCCATGATCATGCCCAGGTCCCCAGCTCTGTGTCTACACTAAAGCTGTAACCTGGGCCTGAAACACCTTTCCTCCCTCTTAGCTAATCCTCATTAGCCATCCACCTTCTAGTTTTGGGATTTCCCTGGTGGCTCAGACAGTAAAGCGTCTGCCTGCAATGCAGGAGACCCAGGTTCAATCCCTGGGTCAGGAAGATCCCTTGGAGAAGGAAATGGCAACCCACTCCAATACTCTTCCCTGGAAAATACCATGGACTGAGGAGCCTGGTAGGCTACAGTTCATGGGGTCGCTAAGAGTCAGACATGACCGAACGACTTCACTTTCACTTTCTTTCACTTTTCTAGTTAAAGGCCATCTGAGCCTCTGCTGGAACATACTTTTCCATTGTTTGTGTCTGTATTTCAGCTTCCCCACAAGGCCCTCCGCATCTGCGGCAAGGACACACCTCAGAACCCCACTTAGGTGGGGTGCCATGCTCAATCCCTCCTTACAGAGGATGAGGGGCAGAGCTTCTAAACCTAAGCCTGGCCCAGATTGGAACATACAGGTAAGCTGAGGAATAGAAGGGTGGGAACACACTCCTCCCGTGGGCTCTCTGAGGGGATTCAGAGGTCCTGCGTGGGGGATGTTCTGTTTTCTTCACTGACACAAAGGCAAGTGGCAGTTGCTTGCATCTCTCTGTGGCCACTCTAAGTATGCAAAGATAACTTGTCTATTTCTCATCTGCTGCCACGCTCGGATGACCTCCTCTAGCACTGCACCAAAAAGCAGCTGTTTTCAAAGTGCCCCAGAGATGCTGCAGGCCGTCCCCAGGCCCCCAGCCCTGTGTCTGGAAACCAGCCTTCAACCCCAGGCAGTGGAGCCAGCCAAAGGCAAAGGCTCTTTCTGGTCTAGGCTTTCCGTTATAAAGAAGAAAGATGGAGGTGATCAGGGAAGCTTTCTGGTGGAGGAATCCACAAGATCCCACCGAAGGAAGAAAATGACCCAGGACAGGAGCAGGCATGGGACTGGCATGTGGGTGAGTGTATCTCTGTCTCATGTACAGCTGGTGCCCAGGGAGTAGGGAGCCAGGCTTGGGCGAACGTGGCCTGGAGACTCCACCACTTCTGATGCCAGTTGGTGTCTGTCGCAAAAGCAGGACGATGGCCATTATTCCCATTGTACAGAGAAGAAAACTAAGGCTTAGATAAGTCAAGATCACACAACTCAGCCAGTTAGGGTTGGCAGAGCCAGGTCTTCAGATTTCAAGGCCAGGGCCCCTTCATTATACCAGGCTGCTTCTCACAGAAGGCCAGTTTGTTGGTGATAAAGGGGAGACGTGCTCTTTGTTTGATGTTGGTGAGTGTGATATTGTGATTTATAATAGGTAATATATATTTAATCTTTGTCCTGTTCTTGGCACAGAGTTCTCCAATCCTTGGAATTTCCTAGGATGAGAGGAATACAGGTGTTTTTTGTTATGTTATTGAAGTGACTTTAGGAAAGTGCCTGGGATCACAGAAGGGTGGGGGTTGGTCACCAGAGGAAGCAACCACATGGAATTAGAGAGTTGGACATTTCAGTCCCATTCTCCACCCCATCGCCCTCTCCTATCCCCGACCTCCAGAGAGAGGAAAGGGGCTACAGATTAGGTTCAATCTCCAATGGCTAGAGATTTAACCAACTGGGCCTATGTCATGAAATCTCCATAAAACCCCAAAAGGACTGAATTTTGGGAGCTTCTGTATGGCGGGCATGTAGAGGCACGGGGAGGGCAGCACTCACAGAACATGCTGGTTCTGCGCCCTCCCCCACATCACCTCACCCTTTCTATCTCTTCCATCTGGCTGTTCCTGAGTTAAACCTTTTCATTATAAACCAATAATCTAGTCAGTAAATGTTCTGGGGGCTTCCCTGGTGGCTCAGTAGGTAAAGAAACTGCCTGCAATGCAGGAGACACAGGAGACTCGGGTTCAATCCCTGGGTTGGGAAGATCCCCTAGAGGAGGGTATGGCAACCCACTCCAGCATTCTTGCCTGGAGAATCCCATGGACAGAGGAGCCTAGTGGGCTACAGTCCATGGGGTTGCAAAGAGTCTGCCATGACTTAGGAACTGGACAACACAAATGTTTTTCGAGCTCTGTAAGCTGCTCCAGAAAATTAATCAAACCAAGGAGGGGGCATTGGAACCTCTTCCAGTCTGTAGTCAGCAGGTTGCAAGCACTGAACTTGAGACTGGGTGGTGGGAGCAGTCTTGTAGGACTCAGCCCCTAACCCCCGGGGACCTGATGTTATCTCCAAGAGATAGTGTCAGAACTGAGTTGAATTATGGATGGCCCAGCTGGTGTCACAGAATTTCTTGGTGTGAGGAAGAAAACCTACATGTTAGTAGAATTGGGAGCAGAATTGAACAGCTGGAACTCTTACACATGGCTGGTAGGAACGTAAACTGGTACAGTAGCACTTTACAAAAGTGTTTAACAGCATCTGCTAAAGCTGAACATGTGCATACCTGATAACTCAGCAACTCTGCCACTGTGTTCCAAACACATTCTAGCTGCTAGAATGTTCACAGCAGCACTAGCCATAAAGAAAAAAGCAACCTGGAAATTCCCAAATGCCCATTAACAATATAATGGATAAAAATATTCTAACATATTTATACAGTGCAATTCTACACAGCAATATGAATGAACAAATGACAACTGCATAAACAGGTAGATAAATGTCACAAACATAATGCTAAGCAAAAGAAACAGATACCAAAGAGTAAACATTATGTGAGCCCACTTATATACAGCATTCAAACTGGGCAAAACTTAATCAAGTGAACCCCCACCGCCATCCTGGTAACCAGTACCCCAGAAGTCCCTAACTTCTGGGGAGGAAGATGGAGGGGGGTTCAGGGTAGGGGGACACATGTGCACCCATGGCTGATTCATGTTTATATATGGCAAAAACCATCACAGTATTGTAAAGTAATTATCCTCCAATTAAAATAAATTAAATAATTTTTAAAAAGAGGTCCCGAACTTCTAACACCATTTTCTGTGTGTATGTTACTCTTCAGGAAGCAAGCAAACTTTTTAAAACTGAGAACAATCTCCATAAACTGATACAGAGTGATCCCCAGATGTGATGTTAAATGAAAGACTCAAAGTCAAAAACATGTAAATTTTTGTGACAGAAAGAAAGAGAAGTAACAAATTTTATATGACTAATTTTTCAAAAAGAAATACAGGAAGGGTAAACTAATGAGATCAACTACCCTCAGAGGTTGGGTGGGAATGGGGTGGGAGGGCTATAAGTATTTCTCTCAGCATAACTTTTTGGACTAAAATTGACTTTTGGAACCATGTTAAAGCTTTATGTACTCAATAATAATAATAACAGCAACAACAGCAACAAAAATAAAAGATGGGGAAAATTCCTAACATGAAATACATACCAACAAACCTAACTGTATTTCAAATGAATAACATAAACACGCTGAAAGAGAAAAAAAGCATAATTTAAGAAAGTTTTGAACACAGTATTTTGACTACATACTCGCAGACAAGGCTTCCCTGGTGGCTCAGGTGGTAAAGAATCAGCCTGCAATTCAAGAGACCTGGGTTCAATCCCTGGACGGGGAAGATCCCCTGGAGGAGGGCATGGCAACCCACTCCAGTATTCTTACCAGGAGAATCCCCATGGACAGAGGAACCTGGCAGGCTACAGCCCATGGGATTGCAAGGAGTTGGATACAACTGAGTGACTAAGCACAGGACAGGACAGCACAGCACAGCCAGACAGAAGACAAAAAAGGGCTGCAAAAAAGACTCAAGTTAGCAGTTTTGCTCTTCACAGTGGTTGTTGTTCAGTTGCTCAGTCGTGTCCAACTCTGCGACCCCATGGACTGTAGCACGCCAGGCCTCCCTGTCCTTCACCATCTCCTGGAGCTTGCTCAAACTCATATCCACTGAGTCGGTGATGCCATCCAACCTCTCATCCTCTGTCGTCCGCTTCTCCTGCCTTCAATCTTTCCCAGTAGCAGGGTATTTTCCAATGAGTCGGCTCTTTGCATCAAGTGGCAAAAGTATTAGAGCTTTAGCATCAGTCCTTCCAATGAATATTCAGGATTGATCTCCTTTAGGATTAACTGGTTTGATCTCTGCAGTCCAAGGGACTCTCAAGAGTCTTCTCCAACACCACAGTTCAAAAGCATCCATTCTTTGGTGCTCAGCCTTCTTTATGGTCCAACTCTCACATCCATAAATGACTACTGGAAGAACCATAGATAGCTTTGATTATACAAACCTTTGTTGGCAAAGTAATGTCACTGCTCAGGTGATCAATTCTGAAATGACTTTCTTTGTGTTCTAGGACTGAACAAATGAGTAAATGTGACGAAAGTCATGGATCTAGGTTTTTTGCTGTTGGAGGAATGAATTACAAATATGGCAACAGGGAGGACAAGAATGTTCCTCTAGGATGTAACAATATGAGTTCATGAGTTTATAAATAGATATTAAAATAGATATCAGTTCAGTACCGTTCAGTTCAGTCGCTCAGTCGTATCCGACTCTTTGTGACCCCATGGACTGCAGCATGCCAGGCCTCCCTGTCCATCACCAACTCCTGGAGTTTACTCAAACTCATGTTCATCGAGTTGATGATGCCATCCAACCATCTCATCCTCTGTCATCCCCTTCTCCTCATGCCTTCTATCTTTCCCAGCATCAGGGTCTTTTCAAATGAGTCAGTTCTTCGCCTCAGGTGGCCAAAGTATTGGAGTTTCAGCTTCAGCATCAGTCTTTCCAATGAATATTCAGGACTCATTTCCTTTAGGATGAACTGGTTGGATCTCCTTACTGTCCAAGGGACTCTCAAGAGTCTTCTCTAACACCTCAGTTCAAAAGCATCAATTCTTTGGCACTCAGCTTTCTTTATAGTCCAACTCTCACATCCATACATGACTACTGGAAAAACCATAGCTTTGACTAGAATAGATATGGTTATGGATATTCTACCTCCTGGACCATTCTCTGCTAAAACAAACAAGGGCTCCTTGGCAGATGGCTGATTCCTGGGCAAGTACATGCTGAGTCTGAAAGTGAGGAAACACTCAGAAAAAAATTAGGAAATGTCAAAAGGACACAGGTGCCAGTTTGAAGGGACTCCCAGCAGCCAAATCTGGGACCATGGAAGCATCAAAATAAATAGTGATAGGGAAGAATTATGACCCAGTGAATAAGAATTCATGAGTTGATACAAATATAATGTAATGAATATAAATAAATACATGGAGGGGGAAGCTCTTCCTTATAATAGCACATGAACTAATAAATAAAGAGGAAATTATGGGATTAGGAAATCACATTTAGCCATCATCGTAGTAATAATTGATTTAGGCAAGAATTATCAATGGACACTAAAATTAGTGGATGAAAAGTTTGATACACAGGATGTTCATGAAAACTCAGGTGATTCTTCCCAAAATACTTGTTAAATACAATTGGAAAAGTCATGATTCTATGGCAGTAGACCTTCCCTTAACCAGCGACCCAAGTTGGCATCACTAGGAATAAAACAAACAGACAACAGTTGCCTCCTGAGATGATGTGCCAAGAAGAACATAATGTCACTTCTGTGATAATCTTGCCAAAAATTAATAACCTGAATCTAATCATGAGGAAACACCAGACAAGCCCAAAGTGAAGAACATTCATTAAAATAACCAGCCTGTACTCTTCAGAAATGTCAAGCTCATGAAAGACAAAGAAAGGCTGAGGAATTATTCCAAATCAAATGAGCCTAAAAAGACATGACAACTAGATGCAACTTGTGATCTTGGATCCCATCCTGGATCAGAAAAAAAATTTTTTTAATAAAAGACCTTATTGGGACAAATAGCAAAATTTTAGTAAAAAGGTCTATGGATTAGGCAATATTCTATTAATGTTAATATTCCAATTTTGATAACAGGAACAAGAAAATATCCTTGTTCTCCGGAACTATGCACCGAACTATTGGGAGGTAATATTCATAGCAGGCTTAACCAAAAGCTAGGAACAACCCTAATGTCCATCAACAATGGGTAAACTTTGGTACTTTGATAAAATGAAATACTACTGAGCCATAGAAAACAATGAATTGCTGATACATGCAACTACATGGATGAATCTCAAAATGATTAGGCAGCCTACTCTCAAATGGTTCAGAAAAAACCCATATATGTGTATGAGTGTGTGCATGTTCAGTCCCTTCATTGGTGTCTGACTCTTTGCAAACCTATGGACTGTAGCCCACCAGGCTCCTCTGTCCATGGGATTCTCCAGAGAAGAATACTGGAGCAGGTTGCCATGCCCTCCTCCAGGGGATCGTCCCGACCCAGGGATCGAACCACATCTCCTGTGTCTCCTGTAATGCAGGCAGATTCTTTACCGCTGAGCCACAGGGAAGCCATACTTGTGTATACTTGTATATATATTGTAATTATAATGTATATGTATATATATGTATATATACATACAGAGAGAATGGTGGGATAAATGTAAACGTTAATTGTTAAAGAATATGGGTGAAGGATAAATGGGAGTTCTTTGGCTTGGTCTTACAACTTTGCTGTACATTTACAATTGTTTCAAATAAATATTTAACTGAATAAATGCTATTTAGCATGCTTATATTATTATTTACATATTTATGTATTTATTGAGAAAAAATCTTTATACATCCTTAAGGGTACCATTGCACCCTTGACAGTTGTCCACATACATACACCCACCACCCCAATCAAGATACAGAATGCTTCTGTCACATCTCTCCAGAAAGTTCTCTCATGCCTCCTTCCTGTCACCCCCTCTTCCACCCTGAGGTGACCAGTCTTCTGATTTCTATCACCAAACCCATTGTGGCTTTTCACATCAGTGGAATCATGCAGTATGTCCTCATTGGTGCCTGGCTGCTTTCAAACTTAGCGTTAATGACTGAGATTCATCCATGTGCTTACACGTATCAGCAGTTCATTCCTTTAGACAGCTGAGTAGTATTCCATTGTATCAATGTACCACGATCTATCCAAAGTTGATGGACTTTGGGGTTGTTCCGAGTTTGGGGTTATTTCATTCATTGTTATGAATGACCCCACTATGGGTCTTCCTGCACAAGTCTTTGTGTGGATCTGTGTTTTCACAGCACTGCCTGCCTCCCTCTGTGATACCAACACTGTCTTGCCCTCACTCACATACATGGGTAGAAACATAACCTTGGGCTTTTAAGAACACCAGAAAAGATTACTGATCCAAATTCTCTCTCTCTCTCTCTTTTAAAAATTATCTCTTTTGAGAATGCCTAAAATTCCATCAGTTGCTGTCTCTTTCTTTGAGGCTACTCTAGCTCCGGCTGGTCTGAAATTTTATTGGAAGAGAGTTTGCTAGATATTTTTCTTCTGACCAGTAAGACCTCTGCATAGGGCTATGGAAAGTGGGTGAAGGGACTGAAAAGAAGCATCCCCCATGTCACCATTTTCTGG